CTACCCTGAAGTAGCAATGGATCACACATTGTTTACAAAAGGAGTGGCATTTTCATAACATCTGTATTCTACAATCTGTTGTCCAGTAATTACAGGGAAAAAATGGTTTTTAAGATACATAAATTACTTCTAAATTATTTATTTCTGACCCTTATGGATAGATTGTGTGGCAGATGGTTTCCCCTACCCTTAATATCTTTGTAATAGGCCACTCTAGATTAGAGTGCTTAGCAACATAAAACCACAGGGTACTTAGAATGATGATGTAAGGATGCTGTCTGCTGGATGAAACCTTATGCTATCATTTAATATTCACCTAATTTTAAGAACATATTCTCTTTAATTAATCTTGCACACGATAGGCAACGGACATCTTAATAGTAGAAAGGAGAGGCCACACATCTTACTATGATTTCTGCAAATCTATTGTTATAATTCACAGAAAAAGACTCTGACATTCAGGTCTGGAAAAGTGAACAATATAGATGTTTTTGGTTAAAGTTTACAGTCAATTATTCCATTTTTCATCTCTCATTTAACTTTATAGGTCAAGTAATGCCGAAAATAATGTATGCTTTAAGAGGTGATTAACAACAGCTAATAATTACAATCAATATCAAACATATAGTTCTTTTTTTGTTTTAAAATACTAACTCCCATGCAATCATATAAGATATGCTATCTTCTGCACAAGCCTATTACAGCAAATATAGATCTAATTCAAATATAAAAAAGTAAACAGGGTTCATGGAGAGGAACAAATCATACCTTTCCTCATTCCTACACTGGAAGCATTTGACTGCTGAACTTGCCACCAGAGCTTTGTTTCCTAATTAACAGGACTGATATGTTTTCACCTTTAAAGGCCTTACAGCTCCCCAGAGTAATCAATCTACTGCAGCTCAATTACTGCACCAAGCACACACCACAGCCAGTGAAGGAGACTTGAACAACTGCGGCAGGAGCGGAAAGATATGAATATGCATTAACTCTAAGTGGGTGATCGAATCATCACAGAGGGTCATGAGAATTTGCAGCAAAATAATGAGAAGAATTAATCATTGCAGATTCACAAGGCACTTAGGAAGTGAGTTCGTTTTTCAAACACACGTTAGAGTTGAGGAAAAAAATTGGCTTTTGGCCAACTACGAATTGATTCAAATTACTCAGAAATTGAAGTTTTCAATGCAAGAAAAAAGAAATTCAAACTCATCTTGGTTTCTGATAACACACTAATTATTGTAATGGCCTCATACATGGGCTTACTGAAAGGTATAAGTCAAAAACTTTGGAAATTCACACAACTGGAATGTGTGAGGATACTTGCTTGCTTCTGTTTCAGGAGGACATTAAACAGAACTTGAAGTCTTAAAAATGTGTTACAATAACTTAATGTAAACAAGCACTTAACAACTGGCACTTCTAACAGTTCCAGAAGATGTTGGCTAAGGACACCTAGCCTCGTAGAATTCATGTCATGAGAATTACATTAGATCTATAAAAAATTACTTTAGACCAACAAAACTAGAATTTTAACAGACTATAAACTCCAAACCAACACAACTGAGTATAAAATATCTTCTGGATGCTACAATGAAGAACAGTTCGCCACAGTAACGCATCCATGCTCACAAAAAAATACTAAAATGCACTGGTAAACACATTGTGATTTAACAACACTCAACCCCTTTTCCCCTTCAACACAGTTGTTGCACATGTATTGCTGTAAAAAGCAAAAAAAAAGCATACAGAGTTCAGTACAGTCTATTTTAATATTAAACATCTTGCCTAAGAAACCACTGATTTGAAAAATCCAAATATTCCATTCATCTCAGTTCTATTGTTTCAGTTGTCTTGAAAAGACATAATCTGACTACCACATTTCCATTGGTGATTCTGGTGCACCACATGTTAGTGTTAAAACAGCACGTACTGTTATTCTGCAAGGCAAAACGCCAGGCTGCACTGGGTCACATATAAATAATTCCTATTTGAAAACAATGGTTTCACGAGAATATATCACATAATAAATCTACCCAATGTTTTCTTCAGTTGGTATGGATTCAGAAAAGTTACTACTAATCAGCCAAGAAAACAGACTTGCATCCCTTGAGATTTCCATTTGGTTTTTTTGCATCCATGTATTTTAAGTTAGCTTACGCTTTCGTGTGCAAGCAGACCCAAAATAACCACCCGAGAACTTTTATGAAAACAGCAGTCTACTCACTTTAAGCATATCATATCTGATTCTGGCATTGCATGCTAGTGTCCCAATTAGCAAGGACAAGAAGGTGAACTCTGTATAATTGACTTCTAAAAATCTCTTTTTATACTGCATGTTCTAAGTCTTATCTGGAACATGCAGTATACTATAAACTCTCAATTATTTATGGGCAGTTTATCCTATTTGCAGATTAACTGAGCCATGGATGCAGAGAGACAGAGTGGTTTCCCCTCAAATCCAGTTTGGATTTATGAGACCATGTGCAGGGGACTGCAAGAATACAGCTGTAGCACTTCACATGCCAACTTGGATCCAGGTGCAGTTTAGCCACTTCCACACAACACAAGACCTGGACCAGTAGGCCCACACGGACTCAGCTGGCTGCCTACCAAGCCTACTGCGGTTGCACTGCACGTTCCCACAACGCTGCTGCTACTAAAGCATCAGAGACACTCGAGCACCTCCTCCCCAGATCAGCTGGCCCAGGTTTCTTCTCACCTCCCCAGCAGAGACAGTACCAAATTCAATCTGGATTTATACTCAGTCACCTGAAAGATGGCAAGTACCTCCATTACTCAATAAAGGAAGAGAGAAACTTTTGCAAAAACAGTAAGTCAGATGTCCAAATACAAAAATTCTAGACTGCATTTCAGGAAAATTAAAGCAAGCAATGTAATGTCAGGAAAATGTCTACACTTGATGTTTAATGCTTGGTTTTAATCTTTGTAAATCATAAATTACTGATGCTTTTACGCATGAGACTACTGAATGTACCTGTACCATAGCATTAAAGGTTGCATACAAGTTATTCCACGATTTGTTTTAATATACCATGGTCTTCAATTGTGTTCACATTATAACTAGGTTCTCAAAGAATAGTAATACCCTGCTGAGGAAATGGTGGGAAAGTGAGTCTTGCAAGATGTGATCTGCCTGTTGTGTCGCACCTGCACCTACTGCAAAGCTAACTAAGGAGGTTTTTAAGTCACAATATTCCAGTATAATGTCACTTTAAATGATCTGTATAAGGAGTTTCCTAGATCATATTGCTACACAGGAATCAAGAAGTCTCACAATGGTCACCTCAAAAAAACCCAACAACCAAAACCCCACAAAAAACCCAAACAGGACAGATGCTGCATTTAAGATAAATTAATCCTAAAACCACTAAACATAGAATTACATCCATGTCGAAGTCCATTTTATCACATAAAGTAAACAAATAACGCAGGTTTACAACCCTTGAGACAAAACCAGGAAGAGTGAATTCTATAACTGGTAAAAACAACACAGGAAGTAAGGGAATAAGCTCCCGATGCCTCTGTCTTCCGCAAGCTGTATTCAGGAGTAATAATAAGCTAAGGGCACCAGAATGCGAGTTATAGCACAACTACATTTAGTTTATCCTTGGCAGATTTCAATAACATTGCTTCTCTTTTTCAGAAAGCTAATACCATGACAAGTATTTGAGGACTTAGCTCCAAGCTGAACTTAACAGGAAAAACCTGTAAATAAATCACCAATACTTTTCAAATCTCAGATTTTACCAGCTCACCTTTGCTTAAAATAAAAATATATCAAGTTCTGCATTGCCAGCTCATGTAACATGCTGCCCTCTGGTGGTAATATTAAAGTTAAATTTAGTGCTTTGAAATAAAAATGATTTCTGAACTCTTTCTTACAACTAAATGAGGAATGCTTAAAGGTCAAGTATCTCACAAATTCTAAAGCATGACCCTCACCTCTGTGGTCAGTCAACATCTAGAATTTCTTCTGCCTTCCCAATTTCCTATCTTACCTTTAAGCAGTAAGATACAAAATGGTTAGGATTACTCTAGTATTAAAGAATGCATCTGGAAACAGTAACAGCATGGACCACAAATGCATTTACCCCTTGAGCATTCACCATCCCAGTGTACAAGTGGTGCTGGATGGCCACGTAACAAAGCGACATCCCAAAGCTCCGAGCAGCTGTTTTATGCACAATAAGACAACTAAATGTTCCTTCAGAAAAAAGCCCAGGACACTAAAGAGGCTACAGAAGGGTTAGTTATCAAGCACTAAGAAGGTGCCATATAATGAACCGGCACCCTAAAAAGCACCATAACGCATCTGTAGCCTTAATTTTGTTGTAAAGGTACAGAGGCACAGAACAGAACTCAACAGTAATTTGCTTATATGTACCCAACTAAAGTGCAATCTTGCTGACAAACTTACTGGGAAGATGCTCAAAGTGTCTCAAAAAGTGCTGCAGCTGCTGTTGAACACTTACAAAGGACAGAGCACCTGAGGAAAAAAAAGATAAAAACCCCAGAACTGAGGATCCATCTCTCAGCTCAGGCAGGCAGCCATATCATACTTCTCATGCTCTTCTATAAAGCCTGAAGCTCTCAATTAACCGAGACTTTTTATTCTGATTATACCGTGGGACGCCCAGAAGCCCCAAGAACCATGACAGAGCCAGTGTTCCTTACTACTGAGTTGGGGCACAGTCCAAGGGTTTGCCAGAAGGAGGTACAAGCAGTGAATCTTCACTGGAGCCAGGTGTCCTGCTCCTTCTTTCCCACAGCTGAACGGAAATGAGCTTCACCTCTATTTTCCCATGGAAGAAACGACCTGGAGTGCCAAC